AAATTGATTAAGTGTCATACACGCCTTATTTTCAAGGCGAAAAATATGAATTTTTATGCTCTATTTCTGATCAAATTAATTCTTCTACAAATCCGATTTGAATGAGACATTAAAAAATTATTGATAATAAAAAAAATAAAGAAATTAGTAAATAATAAGCACAAAATTCACTGTGTCCAACGGAATTATTTGCTTGTTTAACGTTTTAAAGCCTCCAGCAATTAATTAGCATTTTAATATCTTCATATATTACATGAATATATTAAACGGAAACGAAGAATTAAGATAATTGACTTCTTTAAAAAAGCATTTTTGTTTTTTTTCGAGTATAAGCTATAAATTTAATTCGTATATAAAGTATAGGATCATAAAATACAATTTATTTAAACACTGAAAAATTACACAAAGTGAAGAAGCAGGATTTATTAGTCGTTAAGTGAAGCTTAAAAAATAAAAAAAAAATAAATAAAAACAAGTTTATCGAGTTAAAAATTCCTCACTAAATTAGGCATTGTCCTTAATTTTCATTGCCAGTGTTAACATGTTTGAAATATTAAGTTAGTTATAAAAATTACCAATATTTGTAATTGGTGCCACTTTGTAAATGTATAGGTTTTAGTAATAGATTAGATATTTATTTATTTTGTTTCCAAGATGAAAGAATTTCACTCCTATTACATATTGCTTCTATTAATAATGATGATAAATTGGTCAACTCATTTTCTATAGTATACAATGTTATTTTTTGAGATTTTCTGTCCTGAGATATTGAAGACCACTCAATTAGAATAGAATTGTATCCTGATGTATACTGAAGTTTTTATACTTTCCTATCTTTTAAAACGTTGATGTAAATTTTTTTGTCAAGAATGATTAATGATGAAATACTAAATTTAGTGAACAAACTTTGTATTTGAATATAATTAATTAAAATCCAGAGAAAATCAACAGTGTCAATGCATTGTACTTCTCTAACATTGATGACTGAAATTTAATCCTAAACATTGCTACTTGCCGCTCAAAGTATCTTCAGCCTTGACATATTGTGCATCTATGGTGAAAAAAATGAACTCTTTGAAAGAAAGATTCCGTGTTTGTATTGAAAAATTACAGTATTAAGTTATATAGTAGAAAATGCATAGATAGGAAGAAAATGCTAGTAAAGAGAGATACTAGGTTGATATTATAATTTTACAATTTTTTTTTCTCAACTACAATAATTAAAAAGAATTTTTTTTTTGGAAAAATCAAATAAACTTTTAAATATTGTTTTAAATTATTATTTGATAGTTTCATTAAGTAAATGCTGATTANTTTTTTTTTTTTAATGGCTTCCATCATGCAATCAACGTTCAGAGAAATTTCTATCAATTTCTGCTTTTAAATATATTAAAAATTTTATATAAAGAGATGAGATTATTTAGATTAAAAAAAAAGTAATTTATTCTGTCTTTACAACATTTTTTTTTTTTCATATTTAAAGAGCCAATTAACATCAAGAATTATCTTAATAAATCGAATTCTTGTTATTTTTCTTTCGTATTAACTCCTACAAAACTAAAATAACCTCATATTAAGTCTATAATAACATTTATCATTAAGAATCATGTGGGTTTCGATTTATTATATGTAATTGATTGATAGATAAGTCTATAAATTAGAAAATTAAGACATTTTTTTGCTATTTTGACAGTGAATTTAATCATTTTTAAATCGCTTTTTATAGTAACGAAAATCATTTCGTATTAAAATGCATAAGAAAAAATAATTTTATAGTCACAAATCTTTAGATCCACAGCCTTATACGTCCCTACAGCTTAAGGTTTTTGGATACAGTTTAGAGCCTCAAGCTTTTAAATTCATTATTCTTTAGTAAAGGAAAGGTATCTTATATGTTATAGATTAGAGCGAAAAGTCTAAATCGTTCCTACAATATTGCCCTCTTCTATAAGATAAAAAGAATATTAAGATACGGAATTATGCAAAATACTTCTACAGTCGACCCCCCTATAAGATTGTTGATTTTTCCGTTTTATCTGAATTACATGTTGTACGAGTCACTTAGATTTTACAAATACGTGAGCCGTTCACAGCCCGACACACGTATTTGTAAAATTTAAGTGACTCGTACAACATGGAATTCATATAAAACGGTAAAATCAACAGTGTTATAGGGGGGGTCGATTGTAATCAATTAAGCATGGTTCTAGATTCAGCTCACTGTAAATTAATTATTTTCTTTCTTGTTTTTTTTTTTTGTAAACCCATTATAGAATTTTATGGATTAAACTGCATGAAGTAAATACTAGTTTTCGCGTGTTTTTAATAAATACAAAAAAGTTGTTTAGGCTTTAATTGTAACCATGCGTGATTCAACGTAACAATAAAACTCTGATGGCCTAACACCCGTATTATAGTTTATTATAATCATTATGAAGTTAACAATACAATCATTTCCCCCCTTCAAAAAATATATTTTTGGAATTTAATAAAAAGAAATTTACTGTAAAGATTAGTTAATTTAGCCTAATTTCTATCAAAGTATCTGTACATTGAACTGAGGAATAAATTAAGAACGTGAGAACACTTTTATATATATGTTAGCACTGTAATTCATTATTCTCGATTCCAGACAATTTTTTTACATGTTATTAAATCCATAATAAAAAAAAATTATCCTGTGGGTTATCTGTACTTACATCTGTATATTGTTTTACTTAATTTTGTGTTGTGTGATCCGGGTTTATTGTTATTATATGGTAGCCCTTATAAAATAGTACAAGTACAAGTATCCTCAATTATCTGAGCAATGATAAGGAAAAGATTAGACTGATTAACATTACAATTAAGACTAAAAACAAGTTAATCTATTAATAGGAAGCATAGACCGAAGCCTTTTATATAAAGTTTTTTAACGGTAAAATTGCGTTTAACATTGTTTCTTATGATTAATTGATTTTCAAGCTCTGTGAAAACGATTTAAAGCTTTTTATTTTTGTTTAGCTTTTATATTTAGTTAACGTAGCATAAACATCATTTTCGCCTTCACCAGCCCATAGTTTCCGTTAGAAATTCTTTTCCTAAAATATTTTATATAGCAGCAATAGGAAAATCACGATTATAATGTGATTTCCTGTTGTTTCTATATAAAATTTAAAAGAATTTCAAGTTTATAATTACTTTTCTTTTTATATAGAAACAATACGAAATCACACTTATATTTTTCTATCATTACAATGTAAAAATTTGATAAGATTCTAGCTGTAAAGCCATAAATGATATTAAAAGTCAAAAGGATCGTAGCTGTAAACGTGACTCTTCACGTGTTATTTACTTTCAAAATTTCAGTTACGTCATTTCCGGCTATACTATTTCTATAGAGGTAATTTCTTCCCCACGAGAATGTCTGTATATTTACGAATAAAATATAAAATTATATTATATATTATAGAATACCTTATCATCTGTAAGAATTGCTTTTTATTTCAAGCATTGGACGATTGATAAATTCAGTTTTCATACTTGAATATATGGAGATAACATCCGCCATTTTATAAAACAAAATGGCTGCCATTTATAATATGACGCCATCTCGTAAGAATACGTTTTTTTTTTAAAGAAAGTAAATAAATTAAATTGCATTAATTTTAAAAATAATATAGGTTTTTAAGGATGAAATTTTTATATATTAAAAAAAATAATAATAACATAAAATCTTAATAAAAAAAATTTAAAATTAAAAAAAAAGTGAAAGTCGCCATACTCTATATTATTTTAATAAATATTGATTGTAAAATATATTTTGTAATTAAATTATTTATTTTTAGCGTTGTAAACGAAATTTTCTTAGATTTTCTCATATCTTAAATTTGTTTAATGATTATATAAATATTACCTTCATATACGCGTCAATTGAGCGCCATAGTGCGGCGAACGTTTGAATAAATGAATATAAATTTAAAAAAATAATGTATGTGTATAAATATAATCGATTAAACTTTACACTTTATTCCAATAATGTTGGATTTTATTGGAAAAACTAATACAAGAAACATCTCTCGATCATCTTCTTCGATGACGTCATGGATGTTAACGCTCTTCCAAGCAAATTTTTCCCCCTTACTTTTTTTTTAATACGCGCATGCGTGGTATTATTTGATGGACGCCTTGCGGAGATTTTTAACATTTTGTCGAGTGAAACGACAATAAAAATGGACAACTCGACGTTGCGGAGAGTGATCGGAATACATAAAATTGATTTTTTTTTTCTTATTTTTTGACACTGCGTATTAGATTTACATAAACTTTTACCACCGTCCCTTATTTTCTTTTTTATTATTATTATTTCTTCCCCCAAACTTTTTGATAAGGAAGCAAACTCTCGTTGCCATAACAATAAACACCGTTGCCGTAGCGACGAAGGCGATTGTCGATCTGATTTTTTTTTTAATATTTTAAAATCTTTATAGAAACTGCTATAATTTATTATTATTATTATTCGTTCTTATCGGAATATTCCA